GATCATTACGCTCCATTTCTTTACCACGAAAAATAGTTGTTCCCATTTTCAAAAAGGCAGGGCCTTTGAGTGGATCCAAAGGCCTGGCAACTCAAGGTAAATGAAAGGCACAAATCCATAAATTTTCAAAACAGTGAGTAGGTTTTAATTGCATTATATTCATTGATATTAAAAGGAATTGCATGGCTAGTGTTTCTGATGTATCCAATACATCCTCTAAGCCAAACTGTAAGTAGTATCCCAAGTCATAAATAATAGGACTCTTTTCTTTTATATTGATGATGGGATACATCCAGACATCTTGGATTTCATAAACTTTGTCCGTGAAACATCTATTACCCTTTTAAGTGTTTTTAAAGTAATTAATATTTTTTCTTTCCCATCCCTGAAGGGAATCTCATTAATTTCTAATATATTCGATATTATATACCACATTAACTTCTAAAATGTTGTAAATTCTCAATGATTCTAAATTGTTCCAAATTATTTGTTTAGGTTTCTCCTTACTTTTTAAAATATGTTTAGGTAATCTAGTGCTTAATTAATTTTTGGTACCATTTTGAGTAATCTTACATTAGTACTAGTTAATACTTTAAAATCAGGTACATGTTAAAATAATGGACTATGATCAATGATAAAATATCATTTAACCAGATTTCTAAAAATATTTCATTTGACCTGTTCCTTTTATGGAGAGAAGCTTTTATGTTTTCTGGTTTGTACTGATGCAACTGTGTGAAGATAGAAAATTGTTATCTAGGATTATTACTAGTCTGTCAAAAGTATCTGAATTCCTAGTTTTCTGCAAATCTACATATGTGAATTTTTTTTAATAACTTATAAGAATTTTTCCATTGCATTTACATCTGTTTTGACCGAGAAGAGCCAAATGAATGATCCAGAGACTGGAAAACATGCCACGAATGGAGTTTATAAAAACCCCATTTTACCAGGGTTGAGTTATAAGATTGCTGTAGACCAAAAGAGCTTTGTATTTATTTATTTAATTTCTTGAGTTATATGGATGAGTCAATTGTTTTTGTCTCTTTGTCCATAGTATTAGGGCGTGGTGAGAGTTTCTTCCTCCTCCTTTGTCCTTTTTGTATATTTTGTATGACTTGGAGGTAGAAAAGTGAGAGTTCCAACGTTTGTGTTACTTAGTGGATGTGGATGGAAAATAGTGAATCGAGTGCAATGGGAGTTACTCGGGATCAAAGTCTATAGTTTTGCTGGTGAAAAGCCCATGAAGATTTATGGGGGCAATGGAGGAGATTTTATGGTTGAATTCTCTGAGCTAGTGTCAAAGCTTCTGTAGGGAATGCTAATAAATTAATGTTCTTGTGTATTTCAAAGTGCAAGTAGGCTTCAGCCTGAATGGCTCAGCACGTGATTTGCCAGGAGCAAAGGACACTCTTTGTGTCTATATCAGGGGTTGGCAACGTTTGGCACGCGGCTCGCCAGGGTAAGCACCCTGGCAGGCCGGCCAGTTTATTTACCTGATGACGTGGCAGTTTCGGCCGATCGCGGCCGCCACTGACCGCGGTTCGCCGTCCCGGGCCAATGGGGGCTTTGGGAAGCCGCGGCCAGCACATCCCTCACCCGCGCCACTTCTCGCCGCCTCCATTGGCCCGGGACGGCGAACCGCGGTGAGTGGGGGCCGCGATCAGCCGAACCCGCCACGTCAGCAGGTAAATAAACGGGCTCGACCCTCCAGGGTGCTTACCCTGGCGAGCCGCGTGCCAAACGTTGCCGACCCCTGGTCTATATCTTACGCATTTTTATTCTTTATAATTGTAGATGCTGTTAGTCATATAAATGTCCAATCCTTCATTGAATTCGGATAAGTTCCTGATCTTAATAACAGAAGAAACTCACTGTCACAAGATGTATTGTGTGGTTTTTAAAAAAGTTTTTAATGTAATAATTTTAAAATTTATTGTCATTAACTTCATGTAGTATTTCCATATACTTTATTATGAGAGGAGAAATAGGAGAGTCCACTTTACCATCTCTAGCCTTTTATTACTGTATATCTAATAAGTAAATTAGAACTATATAATCCTAATCTTGTCACATATGGAAGTTTTTCTATACCTCTGACCATTTCCATCACTCGTCTGAATCTCTTCTGTTTGTGCTATATGCTTTTAGTGGTGAAGTGATGAGAAATAAATGCAGTATTCAAAGTTAGACCAATACCATTAATTTATATAATGGCCTAACCCTTTCCTTAGCCCTTCCTTACTACATACTGTTTGATTACCTATGCACATTGAACAGATATTTTCATTGAATTGTCCAACTGTATACATTGGAAGCATTTTCATTTTCTCCATTGTGGAGACAAAAATTAGAGGTTGACCATATAAGGAGCTTTACTTCTTTGTGTTCATGCTTATTGAAGGGATTCATTTAACGATAATGAATTCTTAACATTTCTTTTGGTTATGCTTTTCCTTGGAAAGCCATGTGTTAAGTGCAGTGTTGAATTGTCCCTCACTTTGAAAAGCTCCCCAACAAAGATCAGTATTTTTTCTTTAATCAATCATAGTCTTCCTGGCAAGATTCAAGATGGAGTCTTCTGTGAAACACAGCATGAATACCTTTTGAAATTAGAACTTAATTCTGATACCACTTTCGCTGATGTAATACCACTGATTTCAGTGGAATTATTCCTGAGTTACATCACTGAAAGGGCAATCAAGCTATGTTTACACTACCGCAGCATCAATACTCCAGCGATCGATGCACCAGGGGTCCATTTAGTGGGTCTAGTGAAAACCCACTAAATCTACGGCAGAGCACTCTCCGGTACTCCACCAGGAACAAGAGGAGTAAGGTAAGTCGATGGGAGAGTGTCTCCCGTCAACGTGGCCAGTGAAGACACCGGAATAAGTCGACCTAAGCTACGTCGACTCCAGCTACATCAGGCCAGCGGTTCACCGTCCCAGGCCAATGGGGGCTGCGGAAGCGGCGCAGGCAGAGGGATGTGCTAGCCGCCGCTTCCCGCCACCCCCATTGGCCTGGAGCGGCGAACCGCGGCCAGTGGGAGCCGCGATCAGCCGAACCTGCAGACGCAGGAGGTAAACCAACTGGCCCGGCCCACCAGGGGGTTTACCCTGGCAGGCTGCATGCCAAAGGTTGCCGATCCCTGAGCTACGTTACTCCCATAGCTGGAGTTGCGTAACTTAGGTTGACTTACCGCGCTAGTGTAGACATAGCCTCAGAATATGCCCCTAACTCTCTAATCATGGCTCTTGCCCAGAAGTTATAAAGCAATGGTACAGCATTCAGGAAGGACTAGAATATTACCTTTTGAACATATAACTAGATTAATATTGCCAACCTCAAGAGATCAGACCCCCAAAAATCATGATTTAAAAAAATATATTGTTGGGATTATATTTTTGATTTGTCTTTTGATATTTTTTAACTCTCCCCAGCTCTTCCGTGTGTTTGTGGGGTGTGTGTGTGACCATTAGTGTTGCCCACTCTCCCAAATGAATTACTTACAGAGATTTTTGCACATCTGCCCAGCCCCTGCCCAGCAGTTAATTCTGCTCTGCTGTTAGAAATGATTTTCCTAATAAATTTATTAAGGCTTACTATGACTCAGCTTCCACACAAGTATTCCTTTATTAGTCCAATGGCCAATTGGTGTTGGTTATATACAAAATACCAATACAAGCATATATATACTTATACTCCTAGCAACAATACAGTTATAAGTATTGCCCAAAATATTTACAACAGGATCAGGCGCAGGAGATATCTTCCCATCATGGCATGACTCCAGAGAGAGGAGGAAAAGAACCGACAAAGAAATTCCAAACAAACCTTGCTTTTTATACATTATAATATACCAGTGATTTCATTGCTGGTTATTGGACCTTAGCCAAAGCTAGATGAGAGAGTGTTGGGGCTGAACCCTGCCCCCTGGCCTGGTTAAGACAAGATTCGTGGCTGGGCCCCTTTCTTTTCAGGGTTTCCTTCTTATCTTATTTTGCTGAATTTTTCCTTAGCTATTGAACTAAGTATTTCAATTGTTTGCTTCACCTATTATCCAACTAACCATGTTTTCTTTATTTTTATTACTCCAGCCCAAACCTTAAATAAGATAAGAATGGTATTTCAAGAGTCACTACAAGTTTAACATGAAACAACTCTTGTTTCTCATGAACACATTCCTTTTGGTCACGTGCCTTGGGTCTGTCACTCAGGCTAACATCCAAACGCAGTTTAAAACCATAGTTCACCCAGCTGTAATGTGGGCCTTTATTCCTTACCTCTGCTTCTCATGGGGTTCTTCACTCCCCTCTCTGAGGCCAGGGGGCAGCAACAGTGGAGTCAACTCTCCCCCTTCCCAGGCTGGAGGGCAGCTATGGAGGCTCTTCACCCCTCCCCATTTCCCTTCCCAGGCTGGGTGCTGCAGGGAGTAGTGGGGGGGAGCAGATGTGCTGTTCTGTCCCAGTTGTTCACAAGAGAGGGGAGAAGAGGGACTGGACCCGCTCTGAGCTGCTGGGCTCTCTGCTTCCTCCTTCCCTCCTGTGAAAACAACGAACGGAGGAGACTCTTCTGGCTTTTGGCAGGGCTGCACGTTGTGAGGGAGCTGGAGCTTCCTTATGTCATCACATGATGGGCTCCAGAAACCTCTGAAATCCTGTCACTCACAGTAAAATGAAGAGAATTGGCAGTACTCCTTGATGCACTGCAACTAGTCATTATTCACGATTTTCTGAGTGAAATATAGTTTGAACAAAGCAACAAAAATTAGCAGTATGTATGTAGCTATACAGCATATACCCAGGATGTTGCTGTAAAAATACATATAATATACAAAATGATTAAAGAGGCAAATATCTATCCATAATCACTTGTAAAACTATTGGGACTTGCTTAGTTTGAAAATATTGCTGGGAATAAGTAGTCTTTGATTTTTCTTGTGGTTTGCTCATGTGAGTGAGAGCCAAATAATGAAGGTTATGTACATTTTGTTTCAGGGGGAAGATGGCTTAGTAGGTGTTCCTGGCCTTCCTGGTTCCAAGGTAAAGGCATTTTAGTTTTATTTTGTATATTTGCATTTCTGAAGCTTCCTTCTTTTTCCCAGCTGTTCACTATCTATAGAAATTGGTCAGTATTTTAAATTACATGTGGGGTGTAAGATTCATTTCATATGCCAGTGGAACTCTATCACTGGGCCTCTGGCACCAGAAATGACACGAGAAAAGCCTGCGCAGGCACAGCCACCTGCATATGTCATTCTGCATTAGGAGCTTGGAATCAGTTGGCTAGGCCTCAAAATTGGGCTATGCCAGCCCAGCTTGGAGATGTGCTTATTCAGAAATTCAAAACTACCCTTTCCTGGTGAAATCCCAGGAAGGAGGAGGATGACAGTGCGGTCACTTGCTGACTTCCCAGTCAAATTTTCTCTTTGGTGCAACATTCTCCTATTTATTCCTGCCCTCAGAGAGTTCACATGGTATTGAGTCTCCCTCAGGAAGGCTGGATGCACTTCAGCACCTAGAATCCAGAATGGGTGCCTAATAAATCAATTTATTTTGGGAGTTTGATGGTGACATATCTTCAGAACACTGGCAGGGGTCACTACAAAGCAATACAAGGCATTCCTTACACCCTATGGGCTGATTGTGCTGCCTTGACACCACCTCAGTGCATTCTGTCCTAAAAGTTTGGATGAAGCTATGTTGCTTGTTGAACTCTCATTATACTGTTTGGCTGGTGTTACATATTGGCAGTTTGGGTAATATATTGCTAGCTCTGATTAGATCAAATTATCCATAAAGTGTAATCTTAAAAGACTTGTTAACAATAATACTCAAGTTTTAAAGAACAAACTTTTCTTCGGTTTTTTGACAGGAAAGTCTAAAATTCATGCACATGATATTGTTCTATGTTTGAGATTTGTATTTCCATGTATTCAACAGTTAAACTTCATTCATTTAGATGTTTTATGTCACTTACATAAAACTTTTATTGTTAACCTCCTTCATAAGTGAGTGATAAATGAAGCATTATTTTACAGGCAGTAGATCTTGGGACAGGCAATAGACCTCAATCTGAACATATACATGCAAGCATAGTGGCAATAAACACCCAGAAACATATTCTGCTACAGTATATTATTTAAAAAAAAGAACTTTGCTACAAACATACCTTCATTCTTTTTATATTCATGAGAAAGCATAATCTTTCCAGATATTGGGTCAGGAATTTTCTAGCCTCAGCTGTCTCACACTGCTTGGAAATGTGACAAATATGTTTATTGTACTCGTGAACAGAATACCATAACAGCACCAAAATGTTCAATTAGCAAGACATAAGACTCCAAAAGATGTAATTCATAAAGAGATGCATGTTTATTGTAGGCAGGGCTGGTGGCACTTAAGAAGCTGTTGAGGTTGCTTGACACTTCCCACTTTGAGGGCTTGTCTACACTACCGCGTGGGGTCAATCTAAGATACACTATTCACGTAGCTGAAGTTATGTAGCTGAAGTCGACATACTTAGATCTACTTATCGCGGTGTCTTCACTGCGGTAAATTGACAGCTGATGCTCTCCCGTCGACTCCGCTTGCACTTCTCGTTCTGGTGGAGTACTGGAGTCGACGGGAGAGCGCTCAGCAGTCGATTTATCGCATCTATACTAGACGCGATAAATCGACCCCCGCTGGATCGATTGCTGCCGCCAGTCTGGCGGGAAGTGTAGACAAGCCCTCTGACTTTGCTTTTTAGTTGCTTATAACTTTGCCAAACTCTAAGCATTTGGGCTGAAATTTTCATCCCCGTCTGCTCAAGCTGAAAGCTTTTGGAAAACTTCATCCAAAATGGTTCAGCAGTTTCCAAGAACAAAGCTAGGGGAAAACATTGTTTTACCCATATTAAAAAATTCTGGTGACCTTTTCTTTAAAAAGTTAAAGCGCCCCCATATCTTGTAGCAGAGACTTGAAATTTGGCAAGAGGGTGGCCATGTCTGCCCAAATTTGGCCAAGTTATAAGCTTTAGAAAAATCACTGTGTGCACACACACAGTAGATACTACTTCAGTTCTTAGCAGCTAGAAACGTGGACGATTCCATCCTCATTGAGCATGCTCAGGCCTCTTACAGCTCCTGGTATTGATCAGGCTGTGCATGTGTTACCCCCCAGTGTGACTGCACGAGCTCCATCCCCCTCGTGGTTCCTTCGTGTTACAAAGCAACTGAGCATGCAGTAGTATATGCCTATGCAATCTTAATTTGGGCCCTTTGTTTGTATACATTATACTATCCTTAATTTAGAAGTTGAAAGGTGTGTCATGAATGAGGCAGGAGACTGCAGGAACAGAAAGGATAGTCTCATGGTTAGGGCAATATTCAATTACCTTAGAGCAGGGGTGGGCAAACTTTTTGGGCTGAGGGCCACATCTGGGAGGGCAAATTGTATGCAGGGCCGGGGCAGGGGGTTGGGGTGCGGGAGGGGGTGTGGTGTGCAGGAAGGGGCTCAGGGCAAGGGATTGGGGCAGAGGAGGGGTGCGGGGTGTATGAGAGGGCTCAGGGAAGGGGTTTGGGGTGCAGGAGGTGTGCTAGACACCTCATTTAAACTTTCCACAGATGGTCAGTAGTTGTGTGTTCCTCATTGTCTGAGTGCCTGACTTGAGACCCTGGGATAATTTGCAGATTGGCTGAGCACTCAAGGCTGCAACTGAAATTAATGGGAGCTTTGCTTCAAACATATAAAGTACGATATAATGCTAAATACTCTGAAAAATCAGGCCCTAGTTGTCTCACATTGGGCACCCAAAATTAGTGGAAACTTTTGACCTTACTCTCTCTGTGTCTCAACTGTCCAACTGTAAATTGGGGATAATGCAACCTTCTCATGCCACGGGGGTATTGTGATGATAATTTGTGTGTGAAGCACTATTATGATTTGAAAACCGGGTTTGATAACTGTGCAGCGAATAAGACATAGGGCCACTACTGAATAGTGATGATAAAATAAAATATTGAATAATTGCTCACTGAGTGGGCACTGTCCTTCCTGTGCATTGAATGAGACAAAACATTTTATCCTGTGGATAAAAATGGTATGTGATTATGTAATTAAAGTTATATGCTAAATTAAGGCTAAATTAAGATTTCCTAAGTGCTTCACTTTGCAACCTTAATAATTCTCTTAATGTAGCTTTTTGTGTGCAATATGTATATATTTAGCAGTATCTTTTACTGATAGATATGGACTAAACCAGTTCAGAAATGGCTTCGTCCTGTCCTGTGGTAGGTGCGCTTCTGTGTAGGCTACCATTTTGGAACATGTGCTTTAGGGGTAAACTAAACTGGTTTGGTTAAACCAGTGCAACTTTGTATGTGGGCTCGTTTATATCTGTTTCTCTTCCACCTGCAATAAGCCTGGCTTAAATGGATATCAGAGTGTGTATGTAGAAAATTGCATTGGTTTTACTAAAATGATATAAAATCACTCCTTTAGTTATTTCCGTTCAACTCTGTGTGTAGACCAGGCTTTAAAAACTAGAAATAGCAAATTATTCCACTAACATAGCACTATTAAAACTCCCATTGAAAGAACAGGGCTACATATTTAAAGGAGTCTGAGTGTGGAAAGAGAGGAGAGAGTCTTTTAGATATCCTGCAAATGTTCATTTGCACGAACATCTCTAAATATACTGTTGCTAAGAAAAAACACATTGTGGGCAATTAATAATCACAGTGGGGAATAAATGCATGATGAACCCAGAACTGTTATGTGGTTTACGTCCACTTGTCATCTAGTCTTATTGTCTGACCACATATTTCATGATACTCAGCTTTTTTGCCTTCAAGAAAATTGCTGTTGGATGCTTTCATGCTTGAGTAAGTTGGGTATAACTTTCCTATCCTATTTATATATATTTGATATTGAAACTGTATATTTATTCCATTTTTCTCTTACCTGCTGTCTTTGTTTGCTTAACTGTAAGCTCCTCTGGATAGAGATTGTGTCTTCCAAATGTTTGGAAAACACATAGTGCACCAGAGATGATATTGGAAATAAATAAATAACGCTAGTAGCATCATAGATATTTAAACTACATGTTTGATTAAAATCTAAGAGCTCAGATTCTAGCTGTAGGGAAAATTGAGAATTAGTTCAATTTCTACTGGAAGAGCAGCTCTTCCAGTAGAACACCCAGCCACACTTTATTTGCACAGGTTTTGGGAACTTATATGATGAATTTGATATTTTGTGACTGTGAAAACAAGAGATTTGCAATCTTACACCTGATGAAGCTAAATGGAGTAAATGCCTTTTTTTAGGAATATATCAAAGATGCATAATGGGACATATATATCAGAATTTATATCAGAGAAACAAAAATGAAGAAACGTTTCTAAATTATTTTAACAAACACCACATGCATATTTTCCAATAGAAAAGCATGGGCTGCTATCGTACCCAGACTAAGTTCTGCATACTTTATCTTAGGCATACTACTAAAACTGACATCTAAGCTGTTGACTTCACCAACCACATTAGCCAAAACTGTAAGCATAATGCAGCCACCACAAACAGCTGCTGGAAAGCCCAGAACTATTTGCTGGTATATGAATCTGTGCATCTCAAAACTTTGAACTTGATTCTCAGATGTAGCTCATGATGCTGTGTCAACTGAATTATTTGGCAACATACTGTAAATAGGAAGCTTGCATGTTGTAGCCTACTGTTTCACCTACCCTCATTTAAACTTTAGGCTTCTATATAAGGGAATGGAATTCTTCAAAAGGTGAAGTTAGAGGGGGAGAGAGGATTACAAAATAAAAATGAGGAATTTTTGCAGTAAAGTGAGAGAAATACCATGTGCTGCGATTTGGGAGATTTCCATTTTCTTGATCTCCAGACCTATAGAGTTCACGTATGCCATATCAACGCTATGGATGTGGATGCTAAGAAAGGAAGATGAAATGAGAACCACCTCCTGCTAGATGGTTTTGGGGGATGTGGAGTATGGAATCTGTGTTTGGATTAGGTAGTTTGCCTGTTCCTATACT